TTTTGTATTCTAAAAAAAGGATACAAAACCACAATATTGAAGGTACCGTATTTCCTCTAAAAATTCGTCACATCAAGTTTTGTATTTGTAATTTTTAAAAACAAATTTTTAGAGGGAGAGTAGCTATGAAGCTCAAAAATAAATTATTTTTTCAAATTTGGAGGGATCCATTAATACACGAAACCAGCTGTATACTAACCTGGCTATTCAGAGTATCCTTCTTTCATACTGAACTTAGGTAATTGATGAAATTAGAACCACATGGACCAATAATATTAAAAACGAATTTTTAGAATGAATTATGGTAGAAATTTTGAAATAATTATTTATTTTCAAATTTAGAGCGTCGAATATTTAGAGGAATTACGGTATCAGGTCACTAAATCAAGCTTTACCCATAGTTATCAATATTATTTTACTTCAAAAATTAGACAGACTGTAAGGGAGGTATCTGTAATGCCTTTAATTATCATTGCAGAGGACGAACACAAGTCACTTTAGAGTGATGAGTTGAAATAGGACGCCGAACAGTGAAGGAAAAGGCCCAGGAAGCGTAACTTGCCTATGTTGCTAGGCAACCTAATAATCTTAATGAATAATCCGCCCACGCAACAGAAGTTTCCAATCTACTCTAATATCTATGCCCAGGTCAAACAAAATTCCTGTAACCGCCCATTGTTTCAGGAGTGCAGGGTAAAGCTCCACTTCTATATTATTGTAAACTATTTTAAATGGCAGTAGACTTGCAGAATACTAGAAGATTATAAAACATTAAGAGGCTCAGCCCCCTAACCATGCTGAAGATTGTTGTTAAGCTTCCTTGCTGCTAGAGAAATCTTTGGACAGCATTGCTGACAGGCACCATTATATTATTTTTATTGACCACACCCACCTTTAATTTAGATTAGGCTGTTATTTTTTTTAGACAACCCTACTGCCTGTACAGACAGACAGACTCACTTCATTACTAAGGACCTTGCCCAATTAAACTTACACAAACCTTTTTGTTTTTTAATGAAGAAAATTCTTTTGTGTATAACAGCCATTAATTGTCATGATTGACGATGCCTAGTTTGTCTAATGTCTACTATGTATACAAAGGTGGGTGTAGCCTGTGAGGAATGTTAGTGACAATGGGCATGGCCTCCAAATTTTTTGCATATATAAGCTACTACTTGTTATGCTTCCCCCCACTTCTGATCTCTTTCCACGCCTCTGTGCCATGTGGTATGCTTTTGCTTTTTTTAAATTAAATTTGTGATGGTAGCAAAATAAAATTAATAGTTATCAGAGTCTCCTCGTCATCGTCACCACCACTTCATTATCTTGCTTTCATCCTATTTTACGTAGTACCCATATTTTTTTTCCATGTGGATGACAGGCTCATTCTGGATTCCCCCCCTAATCCAGAGGAACAGAGCACTCTGAATTTAAAAAAGCAACAAATTGAGTTTATTTATCAAGCAACCTTACCAGAGCTCTTTTAATCATTGGGAAAATTTTCATTTTGTTTGCTGCTTTAGCTTCTACACCAATTAAGGAAGTTGACCTGTTCTTTTTTTAACTTTAGTTTTGTGTCACGTGTAGTAAGACTGAACTGCGCATGCGCCATTTACTATGTATGTATAGCTACATGTATGTCGTGTATAAACTATGAATGCTCTTATAATATCTCATTCCATACATAACTAAGGAATTTTTGAGTGTAACCGTAGTAACAAAATGACTTTTTTTACCAATTTTTAGCCTCAAATAGGTTAGTTGGTTGGAATAAGTGTAATATAAAGTTTTATATTAATTTACCATTTAAAAATATTAGGTTTAATTTTTAATTAACTATAATAAACTCATAAACATGTCTGCTTCTCTTACTCTTTTTCAGTCTACAAGAGTTCCACAGTTTATAGCTTACTTGATGCTTTTTATTTCATCCAATGTACGTGCCAGTGCCTTTATGTGAGTCATTTCAGACTCACTACAGGATTAAAATTATAACCACCACATTTACTTACGTGAGTATAGTGGATGTGACTGATATGCATTAGAAAGTTTGTTTTTTTCTTATTTTTGACTTTGGTTTAATCTGTAAATAAAGCTATTTTATTGGTAATGCCCACTAATAATGCCCTATAGGTTTAAGGGTGATCATACTTTGCATTTTGTGAATTTCTCATTTTGAATAAATTTGTGAAACTAAAGTTATTGAAAAGGTGTGACAAACTAGGAAAAGGGGCTGCAGAAGGTTAATATTATAAAATTTATACTTATGAAATCTACCTTTTATATAGTATAAGAACATAAAAAATTAAAAAAAAAAGATTGAGTAGGATTCTAAAGTTATTTCGTAAAGAAGTAATGGAAACAAAGACAATTAGGATTCCAAACGACTGACTATCCATACAACAAAAATCTTACTCTTGTGACACAAATTCTACTCTATATTGCAAGGTGCAATGTAGAGTAGAATTTACGCCACAATAGTAGGATTTTTGTTGTATGGATAGTCAGTCGTTCGGAATCCTAATTGTTCTTGTTTCCATTACTTTTTTATGAATTAGCTTTAGAATCTTACTCAATCTTTTTTTTAATTTTTGTGTTCTTGTTTGTGTTAATTTTTTATAATATTTATAATATTTCTTTAGATGGTCCGTTGCCATTGCGGTGCTTGTTGAACTTGATTGTTACACAAACAATAAATTATTTATATTTTATTATCAATACACATTACGGTATGTAGCATGCATTAGGATGTGGATATAGTTATGCTGAAACTGAAGGACTTCTATACTGATCAGTGTCCAGTGAAACTGCACTCAAATGTAATACTAGTCTTGACACGGGTCCTTGTTCAAGAAACAGTGAGAGTATCCATCTTCCCATGCAATCCTGTATTCTTGTTGTTCTCTCCCTCTTGTTGTTCCTGTTGTCAAGTTCATGATCATTGCATAACATTAATTGTTTGTATTTGTTAGAATGAAATTTATTGATCACACGCTATTATTATTCAATATTAATACCTAGAAACCTCCACTAAGTATTGCAGTTGATCCAAGCATTAAAAAAATTGCTTGCATTTCTCGGTTCTGAGATCTGAGCATGCACGACCACACCCAAATTTTAGAGCACATGCTTTAGTGGTGGGTGATACTGGCCAAAATGGATTCAATCTGATACTGATTGATATCAGCTCATATTGGGAGTATCGATACAGCTTCGATGCAATGTTTAGACCACACCTATGAAGTCATACCCCTTAATATTGACTGTTTTCATCAATGTTTTACGTGTCCCTATCAGACATGGGGTCAAGCACTAGGAAATGTGCTTAAACACAAACACAAGCACTTAAATATGTTAGAAGTACCAGCACAAGCACAATCCCTAGCTTTAACATAAGTGCTGAAGTACAAGAACAAGCATTTTTCAGAGTGCTTAAGTACATTAATAAGTACTAGATATTCAATAAGTGTAAAAATAAAGTAACATTACAATTATAGTTAATTTACTATTGCATCTAATAAACACTAACTCTGTGAATTGTTCATAATAAATTGAAACAGGAGAGAGCTTTGGAGTGATACCACTAATGGTGATGCCATTACCATTCTTCAAGTTAACACACAATCACACAATGTGCTACTAAACTTGCATACTACATGTACATGTGCATGTACATGTAGTGGTACATGTACATGTAGATGTACATGTACATGTACCATGTAGATGTACCATGTAGATGTAGATGTAGATGTAGATGTACATGTACACTACTCGTGTGTAATTTTTGCTGTGCTTAAAAGCACTTCTGTAAATTTGTAAAAGTAATTAAGTACAAGTACGACGAAGCACATAGATTATATTGAAAAGGTACTTGCAAGCAGCACTAAGTACTTTGAAAGCTGTGCTTATTTGTACTTAAGTACAAGCACTAAGTGCTTGACCCCATGCCTGGTCCCTATTATATGTCATTAACTTATTAAAATTTATTATATTAATATAATTTACCCTTAATAAGTGGGCATGGTCAACATATTGATTTACTGATTTTAATCCAAGCCCAAGAAATATTTATCAGTGTCAGGTACCACACAATGCCAAGTTTTATATTCCCATAGGCAGCGGGACGCAACTCTAGTTTCAGCCTCATAATAGTTCTTGGTTGTATGTACATGAGTTTGTATTGGTCTACATATACCGTGTATCCTTGCAAATTACACAGTGTTCTTAACTGCTACTTTTTCCTTTTATTTCATTCCATAGAGGACTATTGATTGTGTGGAGGTGGTCCCTGATAAAGCATCAATAGGTAAACAGTTCAAGCGTGACTCTAAAGTTATAATAGAAGCACTGGCTTCTCTCTCGCCTGAGGCCATCCTTTCTCTTGAAGAAGAGATTAAGAATGGGTAAGAGCTGAGGAAGGAGGAAGAGAGAATCGAATATATATGTATATATATCTTACGTACTATATATGCATGTGCACATTGTACATGTATATGTAATGAAATTTTATTTATTTCAATTAGGTCGTATGATTTAA